AAAAAAAATCCTAAATTAGCTACATCATTGTTAAAGCCCCAGGGTTCAAAGTGTGTGAAAAAAGTAGTGGCTTATAGTTCGGAAATTACGAGACATACATACTTACATACATACATACATATACGTACACAAACATTTTAAATAACAGTTAGTAACATCTAACATCTGATTGCTTTACATTGGAACTATGCAATAGTTATATACAATAATACAATATAATCGTCGCTACCATCATTTTGTCCTTTCTGTTAGAATGTGGAGATGCTCCCCTGAACACAAAGATAGTTGGTGGTGAGAATGCCACAGATGGGTCATGGCCATGGCAGGTCAGCCTACACTACCTTCCTAATAATATGCACGTCTGTGGAGGAACCCTTATTCATCAACAGTGGGTTCTCACAGCAGCCCACTGTCTTACCGAGCCAGGGTAAGACAAAGTTCAAAACCCGAAACAACATGACATCAGAAATGATGGTTGATGGAGTTGCTAAACAGAAAGAAAAAAAAAAATGTAAAGATGTAATCATTTATGAATGTTCTTTTTCCTGCCTGCGGATCAGTCTATGATTTGTGGCAATATTTAACTTCTAACGTAGCCTCTTTGGAAAACTGTGTTTTTTAGTCCTAATCATCTAAAAGCTGCTTGTTATTTAACGATTTCATCAGAACCTAGACCTAGCATAGTAGTATTTAAAAGAACTACAAGTATAAGTGAGGAGATTTGGTTTAAAGTGGTGTTCTGAGACAATGATATTTTTAAAAATAAAATATAAATTCTGTATGGAGTTCATGTTCTTCACTTGGTTTTCTCTGGAGGGTTCTTTTCACAGTCAAAAAAAAAAAAAATCTGCAGATAGAACAATAAGTTAACTGGACAATTTAAATTGACCATAGGTATTACTGTATAGTTATAGTTATTGTATAGTTTTTTTGTTTATATATGGCCCTGCTGTCTACTGCAGTCTTCCTTAAAAATGACTGAGCAGTTGAAAAATTGTGAATTAAATACGTAATATACACGGGTACATTTCTAAAAGTGACCTGTGGCCACACAAAATGAATTAAAATAATCATATTTAATAAAAAACATATATATATATAAAAAGCTATTTCCCCCAAGGAAAGCAGAACAATCTAGTTTCCATGTTGGTATTCAGCCCACATTTGCAATCGGGTTCCAAATTCTAGCAAATGCTAATTTTTCCTTCCTTTCTTTTTATTGTAAGATAATTATTATTTTTAAATGCAGGACTTCAGCTTCTGATTGGGCACTCCACTTTGGAAAACTAACTCAGAGTGCAACCAGCATTCATGAGGTAACCCGGCCCGTTTCCCAAGTCATCATCCACCCTGACTACAACAACAACACCTTCGACATGGACATTGGCCTATTAAAACTGAGCAGCCCGGTCACATTCACTGACTACATCAGACCTATCTGCCTGGCAAGTAATTCAAGCCAGTTCTTATCCTCAACCATGTGCTGGGCCACTGGCTGGGGCAAGATCAATAGCGATGGTGAGTGTTCCTTCCTGGCTCCATCCACAGAAGTCCGTCTTTATTTTGTGTATATAATTCATAGATATTTGAATTGACCTATGTGAGTTTAGATGCAACATGCAAGATTAAACATAGGTATTTTATAACCGAGTACATTATATATATATATCCCTTTGATGCATGACCCATGATATACTGAGTTAAAAAAAATGTTACTAAGTGTTTTTTTATGTGTTTTTAGACATAAAAATAAGAACTGATTTGGTTCTGTTTTTACACACCAAATTTTCTTTTCGAATGTTGACACAATTATTCTGCAGTTGCAAAGGCTGACCACTATATGGCAGTGTTGGGTGATTCTCAGGCGTCCACTGTAGAGGCTTATATGCAACACTGCCATCAAAACCTATTCCTATCATAGAAAATGACATTTTCATAGCTGTCCACTGTAGTGACCGTCATGCATGAAAGGGTTAAAATATATATATGTATTGGGATTTTGTCAACTTTTTATGGCTGAAATCATTTCATTGAATCACTGATAGCTGAATTATTCTGTTGTTGGAAACTAATGCATTAACTGGTTACAAGTCCCATTTATTGTTGAAAACATTTACATTTATCGTATTTTCCGGACTATAAGTCGTTCCAAAGTATAAGTCGGACCAGCCAGCTAGAGTGCCCTCTACTGATACACAATGTAAAAATAACAAGCGTAAGTTTTCAGTGTTACAGGAGTAGCAGATACTGATACACAAGCCTAAAGTGCCGCGCCTGAGTATAAGTCGCAAACCCAGCCAAAGGATGAAAAAAACGTGCGACTTATAGTCTGGAAAATACGTTACATACACTTTCTTTGTAATTTATACGCAAAATGTATATATATATTTTTTCCAAAGCAAATATTATGATTTTACAGCACCCTGGAAAAATTCCAATTTTTTTTGTATACTTGCGCTCACGTTCTACAAAATTGCTAACAATACGTGGCAACACATTTTTAGTACATTCCGCACAAAATAAAACCCACCGTTATTTTACATCATCGTTTAAATAGCCTTACTGAAATGCATAAAGACGTTGTTGTAATTTTTTATTTCCTTTTCTCTTCTTTGCAGAGCAACTGCCTGCCAGTGCGCCACTTCAACAGGTTCAAATTCCTGTTGTTGGAAAAAAGGAGTGCAGCTGCATTTATGGAGCAATCGAAGCAGCAAACATCACTGACACAATGATCTGTGCTGGGGAACTGAACAAAGGAATATGTCAGGTTAGAAGAGTGCCGCATTTGCTTTTTTTTGGACTTATTTGCGTAGAGATGTTGAAAGCTAATTATGTCAGTTCAATTCTTTGCTAGGAAAGTAGGAGTAGGTAAGGGAGGAGCAACCTGTACATGTCTGTAAACCAGTGGTTCTCATGGCCCCCCTTGGGGACAGAAATGTTTTCAACCCACCCCCTCCCCCCGTCTCCCTTCGGCCCACACCCCCGCTAACTGAAATACTATTGAGAACCTGATAACATGTATATTTTTTTTATCTGTACAAACCACCGTATGAGTTGCTGCCACCTGGTGACTGGAGGCTTGTCATCATTCAAGCGTTTCAGCAGTGGTATGTCTAGCATGCCATATTCAATTGGAAGGCCCTCATAACCCTCCGCCCCCCATTTGAGAAGTACTGCTTTAGACACACATACACATACCCTTGGCATACTCATAAACGTTAGAGCTGCTACAAATGATCAGTTCGAAAAACAAAATAGGATGCCCCCTAAAAGTGATCTTCTGTGTTGTTGTGGTACGTTGTTTCAGGGCTTTTAAAGTAAATCAAAATTCATAAGATCCTACCAGGAATTGAATGATTGATTGTTGTGTGTGTCGTCCTGAAGGGGGATTCTGGCGGGCCCCTGCAATGCAAGCTAAACTCCATTTGGATCCAAGCGGGTATCTCCAGTTTTGGAATACCTTGTTCTATTGGTGTACCTGAAGTCTTTGCCAGGGTTTCTCAGTTCGAGTTGTGGATTAAAGAACAAATGGCAGCGGATGGAGCCAGCGCAAGCTTTAGGACTGTCACACCTAGTGGTACAGACCCAGACAGCAGCTTTGACTGTGACGCGCACTTTGGAACTACACCTGCGGACTCCACGGTACCACCGACAACATCGAGAGCATCCAGCGTCACAACGAAGTTGACGTTTGTTGTTGTGTTAGTGACATTACTGCAGCCATTGTAGTGCGATAATACAGAAATACTTGTTGAGTTTAGTTTCAGTGTGTTCTATCAGACTCCAGCAGAACAATTATTATCTACTAATACACTACTCCCGCTAATCTATCGTATTTTACCGGACTATAAGTCGCTCCGGAGTATGAGTCGTACCAGTGCCCTCTGGTGGCTTGTCAGTGTGAAAATAATCACATGTAATTTTTCAGTTGTACAGGAGTAGCAGATGCTGATTCACAAGCCTAGAGTGCCCTCTAGAGGCTGTCAGTGTGAAATTAACAAACATGTGAAATTATATATTTTAATACATAAGTCGCACCTGAGTATAAGGCGCAAACCCAGCCGAAGGATGAAAAAAAAAGTGCGACTTAAAGTCCGGAAAATACAGTACTACTACTACCACTACTATTAATTTACTAAAATGCTCGGGATTTTTTTTTAAATTCTACAATGGTTGCTATTGGTGCTATTGTTATTTATATCTTAACTTGTTTCTCTGCCTCCGTACAATCATAAAAAGACTGGAGATTTTGCCAGCTGGACTGTAAAAAAAAAAAACAACTGGGGAGGAGGAAAGGCTGGAGGCTGAAGGAGTGATGACGTAATTGGTATATTTTGCAATAATTTGCTTCATGGTTTTAAGACATTTAAGTTTTAGTAGTACTGTTTAAAAAGATTGTCTGTATAAAATAAAAAAATAAAAAATGATTATACCATTGTTAACTAACATAATACCAAACAAGCTGTGAATGAAAGCAATTCATTGCCCTGTCATGTCAAAGCTTGTCTAACAGCTTTCCAGCCCACGAGCACCAGTCCAATACAACAAACAAAGTGGTGTTCTTGGTTTACAACCGTTAACAACCTGAGATGTTTTGCTGTCACGCCCCCCCCTCCCTCCCCCCACGTCCTGTTATTCACTCTCAACGTGGAACAAAGCACGAGCAATTAAATACAGCACAACGCATTTGCCGTGAGTCGACAAGTAACCCTGTAAACAAATCAATATTTTAAAGACGCTGCGTCATATGACAGCTATCAAAAAAAAAATATCTTCAAATAGAGGTTAACATAAATGCACTCTTTGCATGACTCTGGCTCTGAACGTAAGCGCAATCGATCGTCAGCACACCGGACAACATTATCTTTCTTTATACACGTCCAAACTTTCTTTAAATATATTCAACCTTTCTTTATATACAGTGGTACAAAGGTACTGAAAAACATCTTTGTCGTGCACTCGGTGAAAAAATGCAACAGTCCTCTTTGTGTCTCGCTCAAGTGTGTGACCTCACAGGTATTTTCTTCCTTTCACATATATGAGAGATAGAAAACGCTGAGGTATTACATGATTACATAGACTTTACCATAAAACAATAACTGAGGCCTGTCACATTGCCTGTCGTAAATGGAAGGGCTCTAATGCCCGATATTGTTTGAAAATGTGTTTTGTTAAAACTGTATTTCAGTCTGATGATCCTATTACATCCAAAGAAAATGAAGGAAATGAAACAAGGAAATACTTGTATTATTCGTAACCTGGTGACAGGTGGAGGTAGAGGGAGGGGTTTATGTTTGACTGACCAAACCAACCATATAAAGCGGGACATAAAGAAACACTCTAGTTACACAATGGCCCGGATAAGATGGATTTTGATCTTGAATCTGACCAGCTTCTTATTTAGAGGTGAGTAAAACTATTTCTGTTCAGGCTCAAGAACTCTAAATGGCACCAAAAAAAAAATAATTTTCATAGAAAAAAAGCTATATTTAACCATGGCTGACTAGAATATTTATTTTTTATGTTTCTGTGATGACTCTAACTATTGAAGATAATATAATATCGGCAGCGATAACATCTTAAACTCAATGATTATTCAATATTTATATAATTTATACATTTAAAAAAGGGGACATAAATGCACCATAAAAATGATATATTGTTACATATTATATATTAACTGGGTGTTATACTTGGTCAGCAGAGAGCAAAGACAGCAAAAAGAGGCTTTTACAAGGAACGTAGTAATTGAAACTATTCAATTTGGGCTTTTTTACAGAAACATATGCTCAGCTGGAGGGTGAGTAAACCGGTGCAAATACATTTTAATTCTAGTTTTTTTTTTTTTTCCACTGGTATTTTAAACTTGTTTTCATGTTTAAAAAATGACATTGAAGTAATAGCATTTTTTGAATTTTTTGTAGTTTGTGGCGTCACTCCTCTGAACACGAGGATAGTTGGTGGTGAAGATGCCCCACCTGGGAGCTGGCCTTGGCAAGTTAGTCTGCAGAGATTTGGTGACCACTTTTGTGGGGGTTCCCTCATTAACAAAGAGTGGGTGATGTCCGCTGCCCACTGCTTCTTTAGGTGGGTACCGATTCGTAAACAGAGGAGACTTTTCTTTATACTTCTGTTGATTCAGCAGGGCTTTCGTCTCAACACCTTTCCCATCGTTTCAGTACAAGCACATCTGGATGGCGAGTTTCTCTGGGCCGTCAAAGTCTGCAGGGCACAAACCCAAATGAGGTGTCCAGAACTGTTGCCCGAATCATTTTACATCCAAACTACGATAGTGACGCCAACGACAACGACGTAGCTCTGCTCAGGCTCTCCTCGCCAGTCACGTTCACAGACTTTATCAGACCTGTGTGTTTGGCAGCCAGTGGCAGTGTGTTCATCAATGGTACAGATAGCTGGGTCACAGGCTGGGGTTCTGTCAATGAAGGAGGTGAGGAGACCACTTGCTTAAAAAGAGTCATTCTCCAGTATTTACCAATATCTAGGCATTTGGGTTGAACCTTTTTTTCTCTCTCTCCCAGTGGCATTGCCTTTTCCTGGAACTCTTCAAGAAGTGGAGGTTCCAGTTTTAGGAAACAGACAGTGTAACTGTCTCAATGGAGTTGGTGTAGTCACAGACAACATGATCTGTGCTGGTGTTCTGGTAGGGGGCAAAGATTCATGTCAGGTGAGTTTCTTCTCATTTTTTTTTGGCAATCGTAACGGAGAAGGTGTGAGATTTTGTGAATATCTTATTTGGGCCACTTTTCATTCACAGGGGGACTCAGGTGGTCCAATGGTGAGCAAACAGGGTCCTGTCTGGGTTCAGTCTGGAGTTGTTAGTTTTGGTTTTGGATGTGCTCGACCAGGTTGGCCAGGAGTTTACTCCAGAGTGTCCCGTTACCAGTCCTGGATCAACTCCCTCATCAACTCTGATAGACCGGGCTTTGTTCAGTTCACCTCCAGTGGTGTAGACACTGACAACAGTTACACCTGTCCTGGTCTCCCACCTCCTCCTGGTACTACAAGCACTGTGACTGTGGAAGCTGACACAACGACTTCAGATTTAGCCCCAGTAACACCAAGTGCTGAAAGTAAGCATTCTGACCACAGTGGAATCTTAAATGTTTCTTTTATCAAATGTAACATCATATGTTTTGGAAAAATATGACGGATGCAAAACCATGAGTTAATATACAGAAGTAACATAGAGTATAGAGCTACGGTGATACCTTGGGTCATGAACAAATCGGATTACGAACAGTATTTCTGGAAAAAAAAAAAAAATTGTTCACAAACAATGTTTCGATTCAGGAACACGCACACACGTGAGAAGGCCAAATTCTCGCAACTACTAACGCTGCTCAAAGGAGCACACGCAACGCCAGATGCACAGCCACTCATCCAGCAGCTTTCCAGTTCTCGCGCATCTAGTGTCCAAACAACACGTGGTCAGCGTAACTCCAACATTGTTCGTCATTGACGAGTGTTTAGTTTTTTTTTCGTACTGCAAAATTAGTTTTACTCTGGTATTTCAACCGCTTTCTTTTATAATTACTGTCATATTTATTTCCTTTCTGTATTATTTCCACACATAAAGTTATACAATGTTTAAAAAAATGTTTCTGGGACACAGATCGTATGAACTGGATTTACATTGACTTCAATGAGACACATGGATTTGGGTAAGAAAATCTTTGGGTCGCGAACAGAGTCAAAGAATAAAAGACGATTGTGATCAGAGGTATCACTATACGAATACAAAGATGAATATGTTGGGTATAAAGTGTAAACTTCAGTGGCTAAAAGGTTTTCACGCAGGAAAATGAATCGCCGAACAATCTTGATAAGATACATTTTTCACTGGAATTGATACAAATTGCTACTTTGAATTTTTATTGTTGCCTTTACATTGCACACAGAAAGGAGAAACCGTGTTTCATCAAATTCAGAAGAACATGTACAAATAGATGGCACCTTGTAGTTTTCAGAATTATTATTGAGTATCATCAGCATATTATTGAGTATCATCAGCATATTATTGAGTATCATCAGCATATTATTGAGTATCATCAGCATACTAGTGGTAAAAGAGAAGAATATTCTTAGGAATTAACATGTTGTGTCCTAGATCAAATGAAATAAATACAATAATTATGTAAATAGCTGAAACACTTCTTCTAAATTAGGACTGTTTTAGTAAAATGGGCAATTTTGACATTTGTCGTCTTTCTTGGTAACTTAAGGTCCACTGTCTCTCCCCATTTTTCCCCAGTTTGTGGCGTCACTCCTCTGAACACGAGGATAGTTGGTGGTGAAGATGCCCCACCTGGGAGCTGGCCTTGGCAAGTTAGTCTGCGGAGATTTGGTGACCACTTTTGTGGGGGTTCCCTCATTAACAAAGAGTGGGTGATGTCCGCTGCCCACTGCTTCTTTAGGTGGGTACCGATTCGTAAACAGAGGAGGCTTTTCTTTATATTTCTGTTGATTCAGCAGGGCTTTCGTCTCAACACCTTTCCCATCGTTTCAGTACAAGCACATCTGGATGGCGAGTTTCTCTGGGCCGTCAAAGTCTGCAGGGCACAAACCCAAATGAGGTGTCCAGAACTGTTGCCCGAATCATTTTACATCCAAACTACGATAGTGACAACAATGACAACGACATAGCTCTGCTCAGGCTCTCCTCGCCAGTCACGTTCACAGACTTTATCAGACCTGTGTGTTTGGCAGCCAGTGGCAGTGTGTTCATCAATGGTACAGATAGCTGGGTCACAGGCTGGGGTTCTGTCAATGAAGGAGGTGAGGAGACCACTTGCTTAAAAAGAGTCATTCTCCAGTATTTACCAATATCTAGGCATTTGGGTGCTGAAAGTAAGCATTCTGACCACAGTGGAATCTTAAATGTTTCTTTTATCAAATGTAACATCATATGTGTTGGAAAAATATGACGGATGCAAAACCATGAAGTGGTGCTTTGGCCCAGAGGCAATGTCTCTGTCATTGGTGTGGAACCCCAGGGTTCACCTCCTGGGCAAGTTCGAATCCCGGTTAGGGCGGTTGGTACCTTCCAGTGGACTCACCACCTGCAGGAAGGTTTAGGTATGGTGCAATGTGATTTGGGTGGCGACTGCTGCCCCTGCGACCCGGTAACGGATAAGCGGATGAAAATGGATGGATGGATGGATGGATGGCAAAACCATGAGTTCATATACAGGAATATGGGGTATAGAGCTACATATAAAAACAAAATTACCTTTAAACATCCAATCCACTCATCCAGTTTTCATATATACTTCTGGTTGTATTTCTACTTCATTTCTACTATCATTTGTCATGTATTTGCTCGTCAGGAGACGTTTGTGGCAACGCTCCGAAGAACAGTCGTGGTGTTGGAGACAGGGGTTTTGTGTCTGGAGGAACGTGGCCCTGGATGGTTCGCATCCACCGAAATGGTGTCCACACTTGCGGTGGAACACTAATATCTGATATCTTTGTTTTGACCAGTGAACTATGCTTCGCCTCGTAAGAACCATCTTCTATCATCTGCGTTATCATCATTTTCAATGTTCTATTTAATCAAAATGATTCTTCATCATGTGTTCGACATCTTCACAGCCCAAACCCGGAACCTTCAGAATGGACTGTGTTTTTGGGACAGAGGAACATTAACGGCTCAGATGTCTTTGTCAAGTCTGTGGCCGTGGTGAACATTATAATAAGCACACTGACTGGTTCCAATGTTGCTGTTCTGCGGCTGGCTCAAGCAGTCACTTACAGTGATTATGTCCAGCCCGTGTGTATAGACACTAACGATGAGAGAATGATTCCTATTGGAAGTCAGTGCTGGGTACCAGGCTGGGGTACAAAAAGTAAGGGTGCACTTTAATATTCCATATTGTTTGTGGTTTTGTTTCATCCTCCAAGGTTTACACGATCACAATAATGTTGACCAAAATAAGAAACAACAATTATACATGCGACATTTAATTGGTGTTGGTATAGTTATTTCCCCACCCCAGTTGTAATTAAATGTTACTGGGTTATTTTTACCCAAGACGAAATTTCACTTTAACCCTTTGATGCATGACCCATGATATACTGAGTTAAAAAAAAAAGTTACTTAAAAGTGTTTTTATGTGTTTTTAGACATAAAAATAAGAACTGATTTGGTTCTGTTTTCATACACCAAATTGAATGTTGACACAATTATTCTGCAGTTGCAAAGGCTGACCACTGTATGGCAGTGTTGGGTGAGTCTCAGGCGTCCACTGTAGAGGCTTATATGCAACACTGCCATCAAAACCTATTCTTATCATAGAAAATGACATTTTCATAGCTGTCCACTGTAGTGACTGTCATGCATGAAAGGGAAACCCATTACCTTAGCGAGCAGGCAGCACTTAATTTCCTTACCAACCAGGCCACTACTGCCCCGCTATATCGGAAATGAAGTATTCGGACAATATCGGCATATCGGCAAAAGTTAATATCAGACATTCCTAATTTAAAGCTCAATTATAAACTGACTTTTGACTTTATTGTCGTCATTGTAAAGAGTAAAACCTGTCTGGAGTTTTATACCTATTACTTATTATTTCTTCATTTTTATTCAGGTCCTGGAAAAGACGGTTCAGTGCTAAGAGACCTTGAAACTCAAATAGCGAGTTGTGGGACTGCTGTTGATTCAGAGAACATTTGCACCCTTCCTATGATTCTTGGAGAGGTAAGAATTTAATCTTTTATCAACGCGAATGTTAGCAGTGTTGGGATTTAATCACGGAAAAGCGACCTTTCTCTTCTTTTTACAGGGAGATCAAGGATGCCCACTTCTGTGCAGGTCAGACAATTCTTGGTTCCAAATGGCTGTTATTACAGTGAATGGCAACCAATCTGTCCGAGCGAACGTTCAGGTCTTCGCCAAAACCTCAAGATTTGGATCGTTCCTAAAGGAGACTGTTGGTAACGTGCCGTCTCCACAGTCATCTGCACCAGGAAGAATTCTAAGCTTCACCACTTTTCTGCTTTCTGTCGCTGTCACCTTGGTGTTCCTACTGTAAAGATTATTGCACTCAAAAAAAAAAAAAGCTACTGGAGCTGACCAAGGAAGACAGGACTTTAGATTTTTCAAAGACTGTAATGAAGTGAAAGTCGAAGTAGCGTAGGTGCTGATATCATTCACAATTTTTCAGTCCTTAAAAAAAAAAAAGCACAAACATTAATTGCTTTACAAAACACGCATTACTAATGTGTTATAAAATTGGCTTCGATTATTGCTAGCAGTGCTGCTTTTATTTGAATCTGTGAGGCATTCGTGGTCTTCGCATACAAAACATTATCAGGGATGTGCGCACCTGAAACCTGAAGATTAATATCTAATCAGCCAATCACAGGGCAGCAGACTTGGACATTAGAAATTGTATTTGACGGAAAGGAGATCACAGTGACTTCGCTGCTGGCGTATGACTGGCTTTGTCAACTGTGTAGAGGTTACATTAAATATTTAAAAAACAAACAAACAAACAAAAAATATATATATATAAAAAGTAATTTTCTACAAAATCAAAATCATTAACCATTCGTTACTAGGGAGCTCGCTGTAGAAAAACATTTCTGTAATTATCAGCCTATTAGTATGTTACATCTGCAGAAATCGAATGTCATATAATAGGGCAAATGCATGCATTAAAACAAAGCTAAAGAACACTATATTCACATTTCATTGTTATACTTTTTTTTTTTTTTTAATTAGCGAACCTTTAGCCTTAGACATGAAGTGTTTCGTGAGAACTAAATAATGCATGTACAGCAGTGCCATATATATATGTAACGCTGGAATAAACTGGCACCTTAGAAAGCCTTGGAAAGAAAGCAGTCAAAGCTACGTAATGTAAGAAGATCTTATGCCTGGGGTTCTGGCACAGCTGCGTTTTCTGTAGCCGTGTCACCCGCACCTGCATCTTCTCCTTGAATCATGTCGTTGTATTTACTCTTGAAAAATCCAGCCTAAGAGTAAAAACAGTGACAGACGGTGTTAGATATCAGCTACATCACAAAGTATAATTTTGCTGCTACTTGTTTTATTTATTTATTTATTTATGTATGTATTTATTTTTGCTGTAGCTTGAAGTTGGGTTTCCACTAGGTTAAACTTTGAACACAAAACAAAACTGAAGACATTTTATAAATCCGTTTGTGGTACCAAGTGTGTGCAAGTGGTACCTTGTACAGGCCGGCGGTGAGTAAAGCAAGTAGAGCCAATCCTCCCAGTGATCCGCCAACAATTTCTTTAGTGAAATTCGGTTCTGCATACACTTCTACGTCTGCTTCAACCTGAGATTTAACATCAAGGTATATATCCCTTTCATGCATGACAGTCACTACAGTGGACAGCTATGAAAATGTCATTTTCTATGATAAGAATAGGTTTTGATGGCAGTGTTGCATATAAGCCTCTACAGTGGGCGCCTGAGAATCACCCAACACTGCCATACAGTGGTCAGCCTTTGCAACTGCAGAATAATTGTGTCAACATTCAAAAAGAAAATTTGGTGTATAAAAACAGAACCAAATCAGTTCTTATTTTTATGTCTAAAAACACATAAAAACACTTAGTAACATTTTTTTAACTCAGTATATCATGGGTCATGCATCAAAGGGATATTAGTCCAAAGATACAGTATATGTAATGCAAACAAAACAAACAAACAAAAAAGAAAAAACATAAATATAAAGTATTTTACCGTGTACACTGGAGGGTCATTTTTAGATCCAGCGGAAAAGAAGATGTACTGGTTTGTGTCGTACTCCATACTGACTGTGCTGATTAGGTGGAATTTGGCAGACTGAAGTCCAATCTGTTTTTGTGGAGCATCATTGAATCATCATTAAAATGACTAGACAGTATGTATATTTAGGTACCTCGATGCTCATATATTCAAATATACAGTTCAAACCTGCTCCACCCATCTTGAACTAAGGTTGGCAGAGATTTCGTACATCGCACTCTCCTGTCCTCCCAGGAACCTGCTGCACCGGAATATTTTGCACGTAGCTACAGTGCAATCCTGTGGGTCAGTGAGAGCGGGGAGCAGAGAAGGTAAGTAATGTGGTGTTCATTCCAAAACATAGTGCTTCTAATTGGGTAAACAGATTTTTTTTTTTTTCATTACTTACCAAAACTTTACTTTTTTGTATCTGTGAAACAAAATCAGTGACACTAGGCTTCTTAACCACGTCTCCCTTGCATTGGGGAATCTGAAACAAACAAACAAACAAACGCATGAGTTTTTTTTCATATATATTTACACACACACACATATATATATATACATATATATATATATGTATATATATATATACATATGTATATATATATATATGTATATATATATATGTATATATATATATATGTATATATATATATATATATATATATATACATATATATATATATGTATATATATATATGTATATATATATATGTATATATATATATATGTATATATATATATGTATATATATATATGTATATATATATATGTATATATATATATATATATATATATATGTATATATATATATATATATGTATATATATATATGTATATATATATATACATATGTATATATATATATATGTATATATATATATACAGTGATTCCTCTCCTATCATGGTAGTTGTGTTCCAAGATCCACCCCAAAATGGGAGAAATTGCGAAGTAGAGGTGAGATAGCTATTATATTATTTACGTATATATTTAACCCTCCCTAGACTGTATTACCCTTTCCCACACAATTATATCCACAGTAGAGTTGTAGAATGGCGATGCAGAGCGACGTGAACGAGAGAGTGGCCGACAGACAAGGGGGAGACGCTGAGAGATGCTACGATGCATGAGCCAATCAGAGTGAGGAACAGAAGAGCATGCTCGATTAGTACGCATTGTTTTAGCCAATAGTATGCTTTGTACGATCTCGTCCAGGTAAACTGAGCTACCGGCGATCCTTCGCAAATGTGTTGATCTCAATTTCAAAAGTCAAGAATCCACAGTTGTTAAAGCCAAAACATTCGTATGTATAATTATTTTATAATGTCTTTTAGTTTCTTTTTTGCTATTGTTCGCGATATAGCAAAAATGTCACGAGATCGGATAAAATAAAAAAAATTGCTATGTACTGAGGGAGCGAAAAGGAGAACCAAAGAAAGCTTCTTTGTTTTATTAAATATAGATGTATCTTGATTATTAATGTTTTATTTATGATTAAAGCAGAAGTGATTATCGTAATATCCCACTTTTTCATCCTTTGGCTGGATTTGCGACTTATACTCAGGTGCAACTTATATATTAAAATATGTAATTTACATGTTTGTTATTTTCACACAGACAGCCGCTAGAGGCCACTCTAGGCTTGTGTACCAGTGTCTGCTAATCCTGTACCACTGAAAATGTACGTTTGTTATTTTCACACTGACTGCCACTAGAGAGCACTGGTGCGACTTATACTCCGGAGCGATTTTTATATGTTTTTTTTTTTCTTCATTATGCATTTATTGGCTAGTGCAACTTACATACAGTAGTCCGGAAAATACGGTTATTAAAAATTTGTAGCATGTATTATTTAACTTAGAAAAACATACATTTATCTAAACATTCATTTAAAATAGTATTCTATTGCGTCACCTGAAAACTGCCTGAATCCTCCCAGATGTCTTTTTCACCAAGTTTCACTGGAACCATGATTATCACAGTGAAACTGAATGCCCTTATGTAGTTTCTAACCTGCATAAAGAATAAGTGATAAGTGATACTCGTAATTGAACAAAAAACACAAAAAAAACCAAGCAATTTTTTAATTTCGATTTTTTTTTTTTTTTACCGTTATTGATTGTTGTATTGGTTTCTGTAGGTCATTCTTTCCAAAAGTAAAATTGACGTAGCTGAGAGAACTGAATAAAGAAACACAATTTACAATCATAGAATGACTGGTTACATATTTTCACA